AAGAAAGAAATTGGGAGGGGGAGAAGGAAATTGGAGAGGGGGATAAAGAAAGAAATTGGGAGGGGGATAAAGAAAGAAATTGGGAGGGGGGGAGAGAAGGAAATTGAAGGGGGGGAGAGATTGACATACATCACACACAATGCACCCCTTGCACACAGAAAACACACAATGCATTACACACACAGACACACATACACAAGCAATGCAACCGTTACACACAATGCATCCCTTACACACACAGAAACACACAATGCATTCATTACACACACTCAATGCATCCCGTACATACACAGAAACACACCTTGCAGCCCTTACACATACAAACACAGATTCACACTATGCATTCCTTACACACATATCAGGACATCCCCTACACACTCCACCCCCTGTGAACAAACTCATTGGTGGAACATGAAGGTGGACCCTGGGACCCAGACCTTGAGCTGTGTAAAGGGCCCCCAAAAAATGCCCCCCAAAAATGGAGCTGCTTCCCGTTCTCCCAGAACATTGATTTTTTGTGACCACAGTTACAAACCGCCTCCAGAGAGCCTGTTCTACACCAGACCAGTGGAGCCAGACTGCAGCTAGAGTCCATCATCATCCTCATCTGGTTGTAAGTAGGCAACCTAGCATATTATTTGTGGCACTAATCTCTAATTTACCTCACATTAAAGAAACACTATAGTCCCCAGAACCACTGCAGCTTAATGTAGTGGTTCTGGTGTCTATAGCCTGTCCCTGCAGGCCTTTTAATGTAAACACGGTGGCACTGCAGCACTGGCGTTAGTTAACATGGCGAATCATATGGGTGGGGCATTGTGATGTCACATGGGGGTGGCGTCAAACTTTACTTTTGCCTAGGGCGGCAAAAATCCTTGCACCGGCCCTGGCTGGAGGGGGCTGTGTGAGCTGTGGCCGCACAGTGCCCCATGGTAGTTAGGAAAAGTGGGGCGGAGCTAAGCAAAATCGTAAGCGGAGCCAGACTGGCGCTGGGGGCAGGGCTTTTGGGGGAGGGGCAAGGGGGTGCCAAGCACAGGATCCGCCCCGGGTGCCAAATGCTCTAGGCACGCCCCTGGACATAAGGAAAAACACATTTCGTTCTTCTTGTGCTTTTAGTGAATGCGTTAAAAAGGCTATGTTACATAAAAGGCTGTTGTAGGCTTGTGTTTGATGCAATGCATAGATTACGTTACAGTTAGTCACTTATACTAGGTGGGATTTTCTTTTAGAAATTGTTTTCTCGTTCCCCTTTTCAGTCCCTCCATCCTAACCTCCAGCGTTTTTATCTTTCCTTCCAAAACACAGCTGTCATATCGTGTTTTTGAATTACTGTGAATTGTAGTTCAACTTTTGGCTTGCTACTCCTAAAAATGTTTGCTGCACCTTTGCACATTTTTATTTTTAGTAATCTTGGCCTCATAAATCTATTCTGTCTGCCCTATTCACCAAACTTAAAGGGGCCTTGTCATATTTTTTTCTGTCTTTTGGATTCGTTCCTTATCCACCTATATTTTAATGATTATACTCTCTTCCTTGACACTTGCCTTTATTTATGCTTACTTTCTTTTCTTATTTGTGCTGTATCTTAATATCTGGATGCCTCCATTTTGTTCTCCTCGTCCTACGATGTCTGCTGTCGGACCTCATGCGATATAGATTTTACTGATGGATTGTGTGTAAATTTGATTGACAACTGAAACAGAACCTTCCTTTACGCTCTGACCATTGTCAAGTTTTATCAGCCTGACTGCTTAACATGAGGAAAGGTAGTTCCAACTTTTTTATGAAAACATATATGCTTTAAAGTGTTTCCCTTATTTATTCAATAAATCAATTTTACGTGACGTCATCAGGTTGTTGCAGCAATCGTTTTAGGAGTTGCAATTCAGGTGGTAGCTTTCTATTATAAAAACAGCCAAATGAAGTTTAATTTACTGAAATTCCTGCTGTGCATGTATTTATCACATAAGCTCAACAGTGACATAGAAATTTAAGGGAGCACTGTGATTGGCTCGGTCACTTCCTGGTCTTTTCAGAGTTCACATCAGAATCTTCAAAGCCTGAGGATTTTCTGCAGTTGCAGGAACGTCAACTATGAGTAACATTTTATATTTTATTAATTGTAATGTATTGTCCCCCCACCCCCAATATTTTAATACATTATCTATAAAATCTATTCATGAACAATGAATCGACTGTAGTCTGGAGTGTCAATGAGGAAAGGTAGTTCCAACTTTTTTATGAAAACATATATGCTTTAAAGTGTTTCCCTTATTTATTCAATAAATCAATTTTACGTGACGTCATCAGGTTGTTGCAGCAATCGTTTTAGGAGTTGCCAGGAAGTGACCGAGCCAATCACAGGGAGCACTGTGATTGGCTCGGTCACTTCCTGGTCTTTTCAGAGTTCACATCAGAATCTTCAAAGCCTGAGGATTTTCTGCAGTTGCAGGAACGTCAACTATGAGTAACATTTTATATTTTATTAATTTTAATGTATTGTCCCCCCACCCCCAATATTTTAATACATTATCTATAAAATTTATTCATGAACAATGAATCGACTGTAGTCTGGAGTGTCAATTTTGTGAAGATGGGTTAATTCAGTTAAGTGATCCATTGATTTAAAATAATACACTGATTTTCTCGAGGTGTTTGTTATGTATCTTGGTTATGTGGAAACACATATATCGCCAACATTCAGATTTCTATCACACCACGTACGTACCTTGCTTAAACCACGGGGGAATAAAATTCGCTGAAATGAGGAAACGGAAGATATAAGCTGACAAGCTGAACAGCACAATATTTCTTTGGATGAATAACTGACTCTATGTTTTTATTAAAATATACCTCTGTTCTCCTAGCATAAACATATCATCACCTTGTTCCATATAAAATCAACATCAGATTCCACAACATGGTTACCTCAACAGCATTAGAAGACTAAACTAGAATGGTTTTTTAAGCACAGACCAAATATATTTCCCTGTTTAAAGCCAAGCAGAAAGTACCCTCTTGTTTCTTAAATATACAGATATTTCACGCCTGCCAAAAAAATAATTTGACAACCAAAACGTTGTGTGTTTGTTGCCCAGTCTAGTAATTTTATGCTACTGGTTTCTCCAGGGAAATCGGAGAAATACTATCTTATTCGGGGAGACTTCGTTACATGGTAATAAATCATAATGATTTAATTATTCCTAAGAGAAATAGCAGACTACACATTTAAACTGTTATTGCTCTCTTTTTAGTCCCTATTCAATCAATGGATCTAGATTGAGGTACACTCCAAAATATGATGCAAGGGGGTCGCCATTCTCATTCGGTCAGTCTTGTTCACTGATTGGAGAACTTGACTTTGTCAGGCACTACGTCAATACAAAATAACACAACAACAATTTTTTGCTAATCTATTTTGGTTCCTTTAGGT